GGGTTGCCGCAGCAGTACAACCTCTTACGCAAGATGCTGAAGCTGCCGCAGGTGCGCAAGGAGCTGGACGAGGACACCCTCTCTAGCTACATCATCGAGGAGGAGTGTACGTTGGCGGCGGAGGGACGGAAGGACCAGTTTCTTCCCCAGGCTAACCAAGTGTTTACCAAGAAGGGTAAGCCCCAATTCCCACAGACTTCATCCCCTTCCACTCCCACTACGGCACAGCAACAACAGCCTAAGAATGGGGGTGGGATTGGTGGGGGAGGGGAGAAGTGGAAAGGGGCTAAGGATGGCCAGTCCAAGGGGGGGAAAGGAGGGTTCAAGGGGAATTGCTACGTGTGTGGGCAGCTGGGGCATATCGCGAAGTACTGTCGGCAGCGAGCGGATAAGGAGGCAGACAAGGGTGGAGAGGGTTCTGGAGGCAGCAGCGTGGGTGGCAAGGGGGGTGATGACTCTAAGGGGAGCGGGCAGTCATCATGTGCGATGGTGAAGCCCGTTATAGAGCATCCTTCTCCCGTCATGCTGGAGCCTGAGGCAGGGGAGGGCTTACAAGCTGTTGCAGCTGCTGTGAAGGCGAACCCGAACGTCGTGCTACTTGATAGCGGATGCTCCCACCATCTCATGGGAGATCGCTCTGCCTTTGTGGAGATGAGCAGCGGCGGCGGTATCAAACAGGTTATCGGCTTCAACGGCGCTCCTCAGGAGGTGCAGGGGCGAGGCACAGTCACTCTCCTTGGAGACGGGGGCAGGCGTGTCTTGGTGCCGGACGTGCTGTACGTACCTGGAGTGCAGGCGAGTCTTCTTTCTGCTGGGCAGCTGCGTGATAGTGGCGTGCAGCTGCTGGATGCCGGGGACGTGACACTGCTGCGCGCCCCAGATGGGTCGCTCCTTGGTCGTGCGGAGTTCAAGGGACGTGTCCTCTGCACGAACTTCCAGCCATGCTCGACGCAGCAGCGGGAGGGTGAAACGGTGGCCCTGCGCACTTTGGCGACGGGCGTGCGATCTAAGGTGGACAAGTGGCATGCACGCCTCGCACACGTCGGTGTTGACGCCATAGAGCGTACTGCGGCTCACGGGTCAGTGACGGGCTTGGAGTTGGAGAAGGGGGGCAAGTCAGGCATGCCATGCGTCTCTTGTGTTGGGGGAAAGATCACCCGTCATACCTTTCCTTCTGTGGGAGAGGAGGAGGATGAGCTGCTTGGGGTGGTGCATGCTGACCTGTGTGGCCCTTTTCATGAAGCAGCTAAGGACGGCATCCGCTACTTTTTGGTGATAAAGGATCGCAAGACGCGGTACGTCTGGGCCTACCCTTTGGCCAAGAAGAGTGATGCACTGGCGGCGTTCCAGAAGTGGCTCCCGATGGCAGAGCGGCAGTGCAAGACCACGGTGAAGGCGCTGCGCACTGATCGGGGTGGCGAGTTCCTGGGACACGACTTCACCCTCTTCCTTGACGAGAAAGGCATCCTCCATGACCTCACGTGCCCGTACACGCCGGAGCAGAACGGGATGGCGGAGAGGGAGATGCGCAGCATTGTGGAGGCTGTGCGGACGATGTTGCTGCACATGGGTGTGCAGCATCACTGGTGGCACCTGGCGCTGGCGCAGGCCGTCTGGGTGCGCAACCGCGTGGAGCACGCCTCGCTGCCCTCTGGTGTGACACCGTACGAGCTCGCCTTCCGACGCAAACCCGATGTCAGTATGGTGCGTGTTTGGGGCTGCATGGTGCAGTATATGGTGCCGCAGTCGCAGCGTGGGGGGAAGCTGGCGCCTAAGGCTCGCTGGGGGTTGCACTTGGGGGTGTCAGCGGCGAGCAAGGGCTGGCACGTGCTGGACTTGGAGTCCAACCGCCTCATCACCACTGTGGAAGCAGTTTTCTATGAGACCATGTCCTTGGCAGGATGGAAGGCTTGGCATCAGCAGGAGCATGGGGGGCGTCCGATGCCCTATGAGCCCCTTCCTTCACTCTTCCCAAGCACTCTTGAGGAGGAGGTGGAGGAGGAGGAAGTGGTCGCACCTCCTGCTATGCCCTATGTCCCTACCTCAGTCCCCACCCCACCTCCTCCTACAGTGTACCCTCGTGTGGTTCCTCCTACCGAGCCTCCTCCATCCTCACCCCCCTTGGCTACCCCTCCTCCTCCTGTTATTCCCTCTCCTCTTCCACCCTCCATCCCTCCTGCACCTGCCCCACTCTCCTCTTCGTCTTCCACGGCGCTGCCCGTTGGTGAGGGGGGGACAGTGGTGTCGCCGTCTGTGATGATCACCGACGGGCAGCGCCTTGTGACTGAGCAGCTGCAGGACGAGAGCAGCATGGATGGAGTGCAGCAGAGTGGGGGGCAGGAGACAGGGGAGCAGCAGATTGGGGAGCAGCAGATTGGGGAGCAGCAGACAGGGGAGCCGCAGACAGGGGAGCAGGAGATGTGGGGAATTAGAGATGGTGGTCGTGTGTTGATTTCTGGGACGACCACTGCACCGTTGCGTCGCTCCACTCGCATCACTCGTGGTGTCCCGCCTGTTCGATACGCTTGGGCAGTAGTGATTGAGCCGGCGGGTTTGGATGACGAGGAGGAGGACGAGGAGTGGACTGACCTGGACCCGGACGTGGCAGCTGACCCTGAGAAGCAGTGGGACATAGCGAAAATGACAGTGAAGGAGGCCTTGGGCTGCTGGAAGGGAGACAAGGTGAAGGAGGCGATGGATGAGGAGATGCGGAGCTTGATTGAGCAGGGGACGTGGGAGTTGGTTCCGCGTCCTCCAGGGGTGAATGTGATGAAGAACCGCTGGATTTTGAACACCAAGTTCCGACCGGATGGGATAGTGGAGCGTGAGAAGGCGAGGCTGGTGGTGAAGGGGTTCACGCAGGTGGCAGGGGTGGACTATGAGGAGACGTACGCCCCTGTGGGAAGCTATGTGACGGCGCGTGTGCTTCTGGCGATTGCAGCTGCACTTGATTTGGACCTGATGCAGCTGGATGTGAAGAACGCGTTCCTCCATGGCGTGCTGGACCGAGACCTTTACATGGAGCAGCCGAGCTACTACGAGGATGGGACTCCTCGTCTGTAAGTTGGTGAAGAGTCTGTATGGGCTCAAGCAGAGCCCGATGCTATGGTATGAGGCCTTGGATGGGGTGCTGCTTGGGGCTGGATGGAAGAAGAGCCAAGTGGATGAGGCTCTGTACTTCAAGAGTGATGCTGAGGGGGGGATGTGCTGGCTGCTGGTGTATGTGGATGATTTGCTTGCTGCCAGCCGCAGTCAGAGCATGCTGGGGGAGCTGCGTGAGCTGCTGCAGAGTGCGTTTCAGCTGCGGGAGATTAGCCCTGTGGAGAAGTATCTGGGGTTGCAGCTGATTCGGGACAGGCCTACGAGGAGGCTGTGGCTGCACCAGGGGGCCTATGTGGACAAGGTCCATAGGCGCTTCTTTGACGGGGAGCAGCCGCTACGAGTGCCTCGCACCCCTCTTTCCTCTGACCCTTTCAGTGTGCAGACCTTCGAGGACGTGGGCTGGCAGTCTCGCCAGGAGGAGGAGTACAGGCAGAAGGTGGGATCCTTGCAGTTCGCAGCCTGTACCACCCGTCCCGACATCTCGTTCGCCTGCAGCAAGCTGGGGTCGGGCCAGATCGTGCGGAGTGATCAGCACTAGAAGGAGTTGGACCGGTGCTTGGCGTACGTGGTGGGGAGCAGGGATGTGGCGCTGGAGTTTGGTGGTGGGCCGGAGTCCTTGGAGCTGGTGGGCTACGCCGATGCTGATGATGCAGGGGACAAGCAGAACAGGACTAGCACTGGTGGCTATGTCTTTGTGCTCGGGGGCGCTGCTGTCTCTTGGGCGAGCCAGAGGATTCGCTGCGCCACCCTCTCCTCCACGGAGTCTGAGTACGTTGCTGCTAGAGGCAGGGAAGGAGGCGCGCAGGCTGCGCTTCCTGCTGGCAGAGTTTCAACTGCTGAGGAGTGAGGAGCCCACTACCCTCTTTGTGGACAACTCCTCCGCCATTTCAGTGGCAGGTGGCATGGGGCTCAAGGGGAGCCTCAAGCACATGGAGCGTCGTCACATGTGGTTGCAGCATATGGTCAAGCGCAGGAAGCTGCAGCTGCAGTACATCCCTACGAGCGAGCAGCCTGCTGACTACCTTACCAAGGCATTGCATTTCCCCGCCTTCAGCCGTTGCTTCGAGGCTGTAGGGCAGGTGAGGCTCTCGAGCGAGGGGAGTGAGACCTAGGCACTCCATGATGTGGTTGGTGCCATGGCCTATCCATGGCTGGTGCGGTGCGTGTTTGCACTTTGAGAGTGCTTCGTTTGTGTGTGTGTCCCTTTGTTTTGGTGTGTATGTGTGTATGTACGCCCTGTGATTATAAAGGGCCTTGCTGTAGTATGGCAGGGGAGTGTTAGAGGGCCCTACGACAGCAAGGGCCCTCACGATATGTTTGACTTGGCAGGTCGGCGCCTGGCGACCTAGTCTACTCGGCACCGACGTATGAGTTCGGTGGTGGTCGGGTGTGACTACGTGTGACTATGTGCAGCTGTGCAGGAGTCCGCGTGAAGAAGCACGAGTCTGCGGGAGTCGTTGGTGCTTCCTTGGGAGTCACACCAATCCTTGCTGTGTTGGTGGAGTGGTGTGCACGGAAGCGAGAAGTCGATGCTGAGTTGGGTTGGGAAATTGGCGAGGCGCGTTCGCTCACCCACACACCACTTTCGTGGGGTTGGGTTACTCGCACCGCCCACGCAACCTTTGTCAAACCCTCGCTTGCCTATATCTATCTTGTGTGTTTGCTTGTATGAACTTCATAGTTGATATTACAATTCTACTTGGCCCAATTGTGGATTCTCACTAAGTCCTTAGAGACGAACGCTACTGAAACGCTACCGAGTTGCAGGCGCAACACCGTTCTCATAGCAGAAACTCTCTCGCTATAGCTACGCTCTCCATTATATTCCTTCATCAGCTATGGGAGGGATTTTCGGCCGGCCGAAGCAGCATCGCGGGGACGGAAAAGTCGTGGCTATAATGGGATGCTCTAAAGGAGGAATTGGATACGCTCTAGCGGAGTATGCTTCCTCAGATACCTACTCTTTGCCGGTCCTCCGTGTTGTATGCGCTGCTCTTCCGCAAAACGTTTTTTAGAAGCTTGATTGGAGTCACTTTCGAGAACTTTCAAAAGTGACCTTCAACATCAGTACGAATGCCCGTTGAATACTGCCGCTTTTGATAGTTCTTAAATGTCGCGCAGAATCCGACACAAACATCCTTAGAGCAGCCCCGCTGTATTGGATTCATTTTCCCTGTCACTCGCATTCCCCCTCTCACTCGCATTCCTTCTCTCACTCGCATTCCCCCTCTCACTCGCATTCCCCCTCTCACTCGCATTCCTTCTTTCACTCGCATTCCCCCTCTCAGTCGCATTCCCCCTCTCACTCGCATTTCCCCTCTTACTCGCATTCCCCCTCTCACTCGCATTCCCCCTCTCACTCGCATTCCCCCTCTCACTCGCATTCCCCCTCTCACTCGCATTCCCCCTTGCACTCGCATTCCCCCTCTCACTCGCATTCCCCCTTGCGCTCGCATTCCCCCTTGCACTCGCATTCCCCCTTGCACTCGCATTCCCCCTTGCACTCGCATTCCCCCTTGCACTCGCATTCCCCCTTGCACTCGCATTCCCCCTTGCACTCGCATTCCCCCTTGCACTCGCATTCCCCCTTGCACTCGCATTCCCCCTTGCACTCGCATTCCCCCTTGCACTCGCATTCCCCCTTGCACTCGCATTCCCCCTTGCACTCGCATTCCCCCTTGCACTCGCATTCCCCCTTGCACTCGCATTCCCTCTTGCACTCGCATTCCCCCTTGCACTCGCATTCCCCCTTGCACTCGCATTCCCCCTTGCACTCGCATTCCCCCTTGCACTCGCATTCCCCCTTGCACTCGCATTCCCCCTTGCACTCGCATTCCCTCTTGCACTCGCATTCCCCCTTGCACTCGCATTCCCCCTTGCACTCGCATTACCCCTTGCACTCGCATTCCCCCTTGCACTCGCATTGCCCTTACCCATTGCACATACCCTTATCCCCGTGCCTATCAAACGTCCCATTGCAAACACCGAGCAGGGAGTATGCACGGAGGGGTGCCAAGGTGTTTGCGACAGCGCGGCAGGTAGAGGCCATGGAGGGGTTGCAAGAGCAGGGCGTGACTACAGTGAAGCTGGATGTTACTAAAGAGGATGACATCAAGGTGCGTCCATTCTTAAGGGTGTCGAGAGTAGGGGGCGTGGGAACAGGGCGTGAGGACAGGGAAGCTGGACGTTATTAGTGAGGATGATATTGAGGTGCGTTTGTTGTTAGGGGCCTCGAGAGTTGCCGCGGTAGGCTAAGCAAGAAGCAATGACTGGGGCTGCAGGGGCAGGGCGTGAGTACAGTGAAGCTGGGTGTTACTAACGAGGATGACTTCAAGGTGCGCTTGTAACAGTGTCCTGTTTACCCCATTCCCTTATTCCCCCCCAATTGTCCCGTCCCCTCTTTCCTTTCATTCTCCTCCCCCCCTCTCCCCTCCTCCCTAATCATCCCCTCCCTTCCACCCCCTTCCTTCTTCCCGCGCTTCCGCTCCTCCGTCCCCCCTTCCTTGTAGTCTGCAGTGGATGTGATTGTAAAGAGCGCCGGCCAGATCGACATTCTTGTGAACAACGCGGGTGTGCTTATAATGGGGCCCGTGGCGGACCTCCCTCTCTCCTCCTGGCTCCATGGCTTTGAAACCAACCTGCTGGGGGCAGTGGCTATGGCACAGGCCGTGTTCCCCCACATGGCTGAGAGGAGGAGTGGGTGCATTGTGAATATGTCGAGCATCCTGGGGTACCAGGCATTGTGAGTATAACTGGGGCGTTGGAACGTTTAAAATCAATGGATTGCATTGTGAGTGTAACGGGCCGATCATAACAAAAACAAAAACAAAAACAAAAAAAACCCAAACAAAATCAACAAAGCAGTGAATTGCCTTCACTCTCCCCCCACCCCCCTCTTCCAAATGCTCCATCACAGGCCCATGGATGCTGTGTCTTCGACATCCAAGGCGGCCCTGGCCACAGTGACCAACTGCATTCACATGGAGATGAACCACCTCCCCCTCTCCCCTCGTCTCCCCTCTGTCTCCCCTCCCCATGTGCTCATCACATGCTCCATCACAGGCCCATGGGTGCTGTGTATTCGGCATCCAAAGCTGCGCTGACCGCAGCAACCAACTGCATGCGCATGGATATGAGTCCGTTTGGAATAAAGGTTGTGCTTGCCGCTCCAGGGCTCATAAAGACGGAGCTGTTCGGGTGAGTGAGACGGAACAAAGCCACATTCGTATTACTCTCCCTGCAAAACAATTCTGATGGAGCTATTACTCTCACAGCTGGTTTAGTACTCGACTCTGGCAGCGTGGGATGCAGCAACCAACTGCATCAAAGGCAGCGTTGAACGCAGTGACCAACTGCATGCGCATGGAGATGAGCCCGTGTGAGATGCTCATGAAGGTGACTTTTGTGGAAGCAAAAGCCGACTCAAGTAATTGACTCAGGAGTTGACTCAATGGCTGAGCTCGTGGTTCTAGGGCTCGTCAAGATAGTTTTTTGTGGAGAGCCATCTCTCTACCTGCAACTTGGTTCATTTAGTATGGGAAATGACAGAAACCTACCTTCCAGTCCGTTTTCCCCCGTTTTTCCCCCGTTTTTTCCCCGTTTTTTCCCCTGTGTGCTTGCACTGCAGCAAATCCACTAACGTTTTCGTTCAGCTGCCACCCAACAGCCTCTACGCTCCCTGCCAATCCAACATTGACAAGCTGGCCAACCTGCCCCACACAGTGGCCATGACCCCTCCCTCCCACCTCGCTGCTCTCATTGCCAACGCCTCCCTTTCCCCCAACCCTCCCTGGCGCCTCTTTGCGGGAGAGATGTGGGCTAGTGTGATGGCGATGGTGTGGTTTGCTCCTGTGTGGCTCACCGACTGGGTTTATTGGACCATGAGATATAAAGATGATTTTGCAGCAGCCGAGAAAAAGAGGAGGATTGCTGATGATTTTGCGGAGAGGAAGCAGAAATAAGATGTGCAACTGTTATTGAAGGGAAGGGGGAAGAGGGGGAGGGGGGGGAGGGGGGAGAGGGCGGGGGGGAGGAAGGGGGGGTTCGTGTGACGTCCGAAAGGTGTTTTTTGATGGGAATTTCTCAATGTTGTTTACTCCCATTGCGGTTTGCGTGAAGTTGGTATAACCTGCCTGGATGCTTGAGCTGTAGATAGTGATTTATGGGCTTGATTGTGCAATTGGTGTTCTGGGGGGCGCAATCATCTTCTTCTGTACATAATTATGTCTGAAAGTGTTTTGACAAGCGCTCTATTGTCCAAACATGACCCACAATCTGAAGGCTTTCAACCAGGGTTTTGCTGGCCACTATTGGCCAAGCTTTCATCCCATGATTGGTCTGAAGTTTCCCGAAAGTTCACGTGGCAAAACACGATTCCCTGCAATTTCCACCTGGACCTTCGTTTTCACAATCTTGGCTGCTGATTCGCGAACACCACAACCTGGAATACCTTGGCTCGCGCATTGGCCGAGCAAAGCCGGTCAGGACTTTAGTTGGTTTGGGAGAGGACCTTGAAAACGTTGAGAGATCTGCGGAAGCGTGAATATGTGAGCAATATCGACGGTGACAAGCCACGACCTTTTGTATCCGACGGGAGCGACACTATCAACAACGACAACAACCACCACACCATGCCGCATGACAAATAATGGAGAGAATTACCGCGACACGGGGTTGGGCACCGGTAATTTTTCATATCGCGGGCGATATTTGTTATACCCCAATGCGACGCCACTCCACCTTTTGTCCCGCGCTTCCCGCGCTCGCGTTATTTCGCCTTGAAATACGAAGTGTAGCTATCAGTGTACGGTCACCTAGGAAATTTTGCCAGGATTACACATGGCCGCCTCCAATTTTGTTGGAACCAGACCACAAACTTTCGAGGGAGTCAAAACCTACGTGGATGGGTTTGGCTCGATCCCCCAACTTCCCAGGCCTGGGCATTTGATTAGCGACAACACTTGAGCGCCATTTGGCAGTCAGGTAACTGCACTTGTAAACCTCCCGCCACTCTGTACTGTAGCCTTTTGAGAATCACAGCGCGAACAAGCACCAATAGGGTGCAGGTTCCTATCAATCACGAGAATGTGGTCTTGTCAGCGAATCTGACTTTTTTTGCGCCAAATGGCAGGCAGGTACACGACTGGTTTAAACGTCCATGCTGACGCGGCATCATTGATAGTAAAAAACGCCGCAGCGCGAGCATGGTTTAGAACCAGCAAGATAAACACAAGTTCGGAACACTACCAACGAAACCAATCGTGTTGTCACACGTAAGCATGTCGATAACACCTCGACGTTAAATAGCGGTGAGAGTCGTTACACGCCAATTATTCTGTTAAAATACATAAGATTTCTAAAAGGATTGTACATATACAACTGGCATATATTACCTTGGCTAAACAGATTTTATATTAGTTTCTTCATAGTTCCAAATACGTAAATTTTATTTGAGGTATGTACACAGGTTCGTAAACAAAAAACAGCATATGTTTATAACTATTTAAATGTTATTGTCAAACATTACCAATTGCTAAAGAATGCAACAAATTATTCATGTCACTAAAGATTGAATGTGGGTAACTATATAATTTCACACTATGCATAAGGAATCAAGATGGTGTGATGCAAATACATGTTTTAATATGAACTTTCCAAGTGTAAAATCTGAGAAGATTTGAACAAGAATGAATGAACTATGAATGAAGTGAGTACATATAGGAAACCCTAATTGGGTTGTACCCCCTATGGGATACCCCACTATAGCCTACACAACAGCATAAGCTATATATATGTTCTGACACACCCCCATAGGCAAAGTGGGGGAGAACAAGGGGTCACAAGACCAGTCACGCAAAGCACAGCAAGCTCAGGGTGGATCACAAAGTCACCACACAGTCCGAGCACAACGACAAGGCCACAAGGCCAGTTCACATGCAGGAGTGCACATATATATATAGAGCTAGACAAGCAAGAGCAGGTATATATATGTGACAGTACAAGCAAGATCAAGAGGAGAGCAAGTGAGGCAAGACAGGTACAAGACCCAGCTGAGTGCAGAAGCGCTGATGATCACAAGGCGCAAGTGCCTTGGTGAACACATCAGCAGTGTTGGCCTCAGAGGCCACGTACGCAAGTCGCAACTGACCACGCTGCTGCAGCTCACGAGCAAGAAAGTAACGGAGAGCAATGTGCTTCGTTCTGTGCTCCAAGCGCTGCTCTCGACACAAGGCCAGCATGGCCTTGTTATCTACGTACAGCACTGGAGGAGAACGAGGCGGCTCTCCAAGGTCAGTCAGCAGGTAGGTGAGCCAGCGAAGCCCCTGTGCAGCCATGGCCCCGGCGTAGATCTCAGCCTCACAACTGGAGCCGAGAACAGAGGACGAGCGAGTAGCCCGCCACGAGACAGAGCCGGAACCAAGACTGAAGGTGTAACCCTGCGACGACCGCTGCGTAGCCTGGTCGTCAGCCCAAGAAGCGTCCGCGTGCCCAGTGAGGACCACTGGACTCCGCCCTCCAAGCACTAGCCCCATGCCCGACGTACTGCACAAGTAGCGCAACACCCTCTTCGCTGCAGCCATGTGCTCTGGTCGGTGTCTCCCAGGAGCAACATAGCGTGCAAGAATGCTAAGAGGGTATGCAAGGTCAGGTCGTGTGCAGGTCATCAGGTACATGAGGCAGCCAACAAGCTCTGGGTACGGGCCACTCGACTCTACGGACTCATCCGAAGGCAGAGCTGAGAGCGAGTGGCGAGTAGACAGAGGAGTGGCCTGAGGCGAGGAGTACGTGAAGCCGAAGCGCTGAAGGACCTGCTGCACCATGTGTGACTGAGTCAAGGTAATGGTGCGGCGTGCTCTGTCCCGAGTGATCTGCAAGCCAAGGTAGCTGCGCAGTTCACCCAGGTCTGTGCACGTGTGTCTCTTCTGCAGCTCGGACTTCACGTGGGCGAGTCCAGCAGTGTCAGCTGTGGCAAAGACCAAGTCGTCGACGTACACGAGGATGTAGAACGGCGGCAAAGAAGTGTCGGTGCGCAGAAACAACGACGGGTCAGCCGTAGAGGGAGCAAACCCAAGAGCCGCAAGCGTAGTCCTCAGTGTGTCGTGCCACTCACGCGGTGCCTGGCGGAGACCGTAGACTGGCCGTCGGAGGCTCCACTGGGTGCCAGTAGGGAAAGTCCCAGTGAAGCCAGGTGGACGGCGCAGCCAGATCTCCTCGTGCAGGCTACCCTGCAAGAAAGCAGTGCTGAAGTCAAGAGAGTGGAGCTCGTAGTCGCGCTGAGCGGCTATGTGCAGCACCCGAAGAGTGGTCATCTTCGGGGTGGGAGAGAAGGTCTGAAAGTAGTCAACTCCCTGCCGCTGACTGAAGCCACGAGCGACGTACCGCGCCTTGAAGACAGGTGGAGAGCCCGGCGGCCGCTTCACCCTGAAGATCCACATGCCACTGACGATGTTCGCCCCAGGAGGGGGAACCGCGTCAACGTAGGTGCCTGTGGACTTCCAGGACGCCATCTCTGCATCCATAGCTGCCTGCCACTGAGAGGAGTAGGGACCCTCTACGGCCTCCGCGTAAGAGCGCGGAGTCGGGATGTCTAGTGCATCCGGGTCTCCCTCAGGGGCAAGTAGTACGGACGCGAGATGAGGTGAAGCAGCAGCCAGACACTGGAACTCCTCCTGCCTGTCCTCAAGGACGTCCGTGCCAAGAGCACACTCACCCCCGACGGACGGAGGACAGACAGACGCAGACTCAGCAACAAGACCGGCAGCGTAGTCGACGAGCTAGCAGCAAAGTCGACGAGCTCAGCAACAAGAGCAGACGCAGCAGTGGACTCAAAAGAGGGGTCAGTGACGACAGTAGCAAGGAGACGTGTGACAGTAGGACTAGCAGCACGAAGAGAGTCGGACTCTGGGTCGGTAAGTGCAGGAAGGGAGGACTCAGGAGGAGAAGGCAAAGGGGCACGCAGAGGAGCAGTGGACGGACGCAAAGACATCCGGTGCGTGCCAGGGACAGGAGGAGGACGCTGACGCGAACCGCGACCACTAGCGCGAGCAGCACGAACAGGCGACGCAGGACGAGACGCAGGCTCACGACGCTCAGCAAGACCTCCAGTGGGACCAGTGTAAGGAGAGGGAGCAGGAAGTGGGGTGGCGGGCTCTAACTGGGACTGTGACTGAACAGGCTGTGGACACGCTGCAGGAGGAGAAAGACCAAGAACCTGCTGCAGGAGTGGAACGAAGTACGGCCAAGGCCGCGCGGCGACTCCAGACACAGCAGAGACAGCACCCTCAGCAGCAGCACCAGCGCCAACAGCACCTCCAGCTCCAGTACCTCCAGCAGCACCAGCAGTACCCGCAGCAGGACCACCGCCAGGAAGGACAGCAGCAGTCTCAGCACCAAGACCCGCAGCAGCTCCAGCTCCAGGCGGACCCGAGGGCCCAGCAGCTCCGGGACCAGCGGCACAAGTACCCTCAGCAGCCGAAGGAGCTCCAGCTCCAGCAGTACGTCTCCAGCGGCGAGCAAACCACTCGCGCAGCTCCTGTGGAGAGAGGGGCTCCCGCCGAGGCGAAGCACCCGGAGAACCGCCAGGTCCCGCACCGCCAGACGCCACAAGGGGAGGTCCAGTGGCCGCAGGCTCCGCAGCTCCAGGCTCAGTAGCTCCAGACGCAGCACCCCCTGGCTCAGCACCCCCAGTCACAGCACCCCCAGGCTCAGCACCCCCAGACTCAGCACCCCCAGTCGCAGTACCCCCAGGCTCAGCACCCCCAGACTCAGCACCCCCAGGCTCAGCACCCCCTGGCTCAGCACCCACGCGCGTAGCACCCCCAGAGTCAGCACCCCCAGGCTCAGCACCCGCAGCAGGACCAGAGTCACCAGCAACCTCGACCGGCTCGACTGCGTCTACCTGGGACACACCTGAAGGGGCAGGACCCTGAGGGGGAAGGGGGTCTACCGGGGGGGGACCTGG